TCATAGGTCTTAAAGCACAACTCTGTCCTTTCATCTCGGCTCCGTCCTGTTGGCAAGGACTATCTGACTACAACCTTGGTTCGTGCACCACCTCAGATTGAGCAGTATCAGATTGGCATTATCTGTGGGAAATGCACAAAAATCCTTTCCTGAAATATCTCTCTCACCGTGCAATCAAAAAAGCAATCAAGATGCCTAGAAATCATTCCGAGCGATCAACATGCCGATCCCCATCTTAGGAATCTTGCTGCCGCAGCCCCTCACACCAAGAAACTCAAAAACCTCTAGCCGCGGTCAACCCTGTGCAGTTCTAGGTGATGCAAGAAAAGGGCGATAAGATCTTTGCGATGATGCAGACACTAGGGTCCGCGGCACCGCCCAACCAGACCATCCCTCTCTTGCCCCGATGCGTACGAAGGATGATCCTCACCCCGAGGACCCCAAAATGCATCGGTCAAACAAGAAGGGAGTGTGGTCCCATCAAGAAAAGCAAGATATGACAAGAAAGTTTGTCTCCTCTGCCCGCTCTTGTGAACCTGACAAGCGTAGTAGGACGCATTAGACTATACGGATCCCCACTAAAGAGAGGCTCGGCAAGCGGACGCCGCCCCATGTGGTCTTTGTCGCCGAGTCCAATTCAGTAAAAGAGCACCCTGCACAGCCCAAGAAGGAGAGGGCCACACACAACGCAGCCCCAGACAACAAGGACACTAAGATTCGGGAGCTCTGACAACGTTTGATGGAGTTGGAGCACAACTAAGTTCAGAGAAGCATGACACCGCCTGTAGACCAGCCCGTGCAGCCGGCAGTTCAGCCCGTTAGAGAGACCTTCGTCCAAGAGATAGTGGATGAGATACCTCCTGAGAGGTGGTGGGCACCTCAGTTCGACAAGTACAATGGAAATACCGACCCCGATGACCATATTGAAGCACTAAAGGCCTAGATGATGTTGCATGGATCGTCCGAGGGCCTGATGTGTAAAGCTCTTGTGGCCACCCTTAAGGGCCCGACCCAAACCTGGTATTCCTCCTTTCCCTTGTGCTCCATAGCATCATGGGAGCAGCTGGAGACCCAGTTCCTGGCGTAGTTTACAGCGATCCAGAAACACTAGAAAAGTTCGGCCAGCCTCATACAAGTGCGGCAAAGGAAGACAGTATCTCTCAAAGACTACCTAGCGAGATTCAACAAAGAAGCACTACAGGTCTGGAACCTGAACTAGTCTGTGGCCATCACTTCCATACAACATTTTACTCTGCCCCTCACCATTCAACTTCTCCACATCTAAGAACCCTCTTCAGACACTAGTCGTAGTGATGAGCCATGCCCAGAAGTACATCAACACGGAAGAAGCCCAGGCACAACTACGGGATGAGGAAGAAAGGCCCGACAAGAAGAGGAGAGACACAGAGGAGCGGAAGGCAGAGAGATCGGATCGGGATCATWAGAGGCAGGATCGCCGGCCCAACCGCAAACCACGGACACCCCCGCCGACCTATAAGAACTTCATGCCGTTGAGTACACCACAATCTGAAGTTCTGATGTAGATTTGCGACCGCAGCTATGTCCGATGGCCCAAAAAGATGAAGACACAGGGCAACAAGAGGAACTATGACAAGTATTGTGAGTTCCACAGGGACCACAACTACGACAAGGACAACTGCTTTGACCTCCGCAACCACATTGAGGACCTGATCAAGTGCGGGTAACTTGATGGATTCGTCAACAAGAGTGAGAAGTTAGTACAAGAAGAGCTGCTTATAAAAAATGTTTGGCCACCACCCCGAGCTCCTCCTACCAGTGTGATTCATGTGATATTAGGAGGGGTCATCGTGGGAGGAGAGAGCATCTTGGGGCGTAAGAAGTACACACACTTGTGCGAGATCGACAACCGAAGACAGAAGAAGAGGCGGGACGATCCGATCACCTTCACTAGTGACGACCTTTGGGGGGTCCAAACCCCACACGACGACGCCCTGGTAATCACGGTCGAGGTTGCTAACTTTGAAGTGCGGCGCATCCTGGTTGACACAGGTAGCTCCACCAACGTCCTCTTCAAAGAAGCACTCGAGAAGCTCGGCATCGACAAGGACCACCTCACCCCCGTCAACACTCCCCTAATGGGCTTCTCTGGGGAGTCTCCTGCCAACCGGGAGGATAACCCTCCCCCTTTTGATTGGAGATGGCAACACCACTGCAACGGCCATGGTGGATTTCATCATAGTTCGTTATCCCTCATCCTACAATGCCATCCTCGGCAGGCTGACGCTCAATGCTCTGCAGCCTCGGTTTCCACCTTCCACCTTGCTATGAAATTTCCAACCCAATATGGCATAGGGGTGGCACGTGGAGACCAGAGGACTGCATGGCAATGCTACCTGCTTTTCTGTCGAGGACTACGCCTGCCGTAGAGACGATAATGGATGAAGCCTATGACTTGCGGGATGAGGTGAAGACGTAGTGCGACCAACCTGTCGAAGACCTCATCCAAGTGCCTTTCAATGAGGAAGACCTCGAGAGAATGGTCCAGATCAGCTCTCTCTTGGGCGACCGCCTTCGGGAAGACCTGGTACAACTACTAAAGGATCATGCCAATGTGTTCGCTTGGTTGGTGGCGGACATGTCGGGGGTCGACCCTGAGGTCATCACCCACCGCTTGAACGTCGACCCGCGCTACTGACCCATCAGGCAAAAGAAGAGAAGCTTCACCACTGAACAGTGGTAGGTGATCACCGACAAGGTCTAGAAATTGCTCGATGTTGGCTTCATTCGGGAAGTGAAATACCTCGATTGGCTGGCCAACGTAGTGATGGTGAAGAAGGCCAATGGGAAGTGGAGAATATAGATTGACTTCACCGACCTAAATAAAGCTTGCCCCAAGGACAACTTTCCCCTGCCGAGGATTGACCAGCTCGCCGACTTAATGGCAGGACACAAACTCCTGAGCTTTATGGATCGCGGATGACTAGGAGAAAACGACCTTGATCACCGATCGCGGATTATATTGCTACAAGGTGATGCCTTTTGGCCTCAAGAATGTCGGCGCTACCTATCAACGGCTGGTGAACGAGGTCTTTAAGGATCAGCTCGATTGAAACGTGGAAGCATATGTGAATGGCATGCTCATGAAAAACAAGAAGGCCGAGCATCACCTGGCTGACCTTAAGGAAGTCTTCAGCACCCTCAAGAAATACAGGATGAAGCTAAACCCGACCAAATGCGCCTTTGGGGTCGGCTCCAGCAAATTCTTGGGGTTTATGGTGACATAGAGGGAAATTGAAGCCAACCCAGAAAAAAATACAAGCTATCCTCGACATGCAGTCACCCCGGACCTATAAAGAAGTGCAGTGCCTCACCGACAGAATAGCCGCCCTTAGCAAATTCATGTCCAAATCCACGAACAGGTGCCTACTTTTCTTCAAAGCCCTCAAGCGACTGAAGGACTTCCAATGGATCGAAGAATAAAGTATGGGAGATGTTCTTGATGTGCGACTGAAACACATTGTGAGGTTGGTTTGAGTAGCATGTTCGAATTCCATAAATGCAATAGATATCTACTCCCCATAAAAGTTGACTCAACACACTTCCAATATGATTTGTGACTTCATATTTCACAAAAGTCTGAGATCCACCAGGTCCAATCTAGTCCAATGAATATTTTAGACCAATTGATCAAATCAGTTCAATTCAACATCTACACCGTCCAATCTGTTCAAATTGTTTTTTTAATTTAGATTGGTGCCAATCCAGACCTAGCTTATTGACACATGACACATGTATTCTTATTTCCAATGAATAGACTGTATATTGTTTCAATCCGATCCGATCCAATATAAATCTATTATGGATGGACCAGGTCCAAGTCAATCCGATAAAAACTTGATGGACCAGGTCCAAGTCAATCTGATAAATACTTGATGGACCAGGTCCAAGTCAATCCGATAAATACTTTGGACTAGGGAACTGGTCGTGGTTTAGTTAACCGAACCATGGGCATTATTCCAAAATCAAATTGGTCATACTGGTTTTTGTATTTTTTTGAACCAAAACCAAACCGGTAGGACCAATTAACCGGTTTGTCAGTTTCAATTTTTTTGTTTTTTTTATATATTTATAATATGTTATATAAATATATAATATCATATTATAAATAATAAATGATATATAATATATTATAAAATTATAAATATAATAGGGCTGGCTCGTTTGTGTATTAGCTGATTAATTTGTTCGAGTGTTAACGCGGAAGTTATCAAATTCCACAACCAGTACCAGTCGTTGTTTTCTAGGTTAACTGAAAACCGAAACCACATTTTCAGTTCAGTTTTCTTGGTTTGGTTCAATTTTTCGATTATTTATGAGCACTCCTACTTTGGACCATTAAATTTGGATGGATAAAATTCAATATATCTTATTGGTCCATCCAATCCATCTAAATGGATTTTGACTTAACGTGTACATAGTGTTTTTTTTTTTTACACTTTTTGGTTGTAAGAGATCCCATCGCATAAAAGAGACCAAATCAGCCCCCTACAAGATTACCCCTCACAACGTTCCACAGCACATCCCTGCCATGTATTAGGAACATATCTCGATGATAATCCCAGAAATGATGATGTCATCATCGGGAGATGTTCTCAATGCATGGCAGGGTTGTACCGTAAAACTTTGTCGGGAACAATCTTATGGGGGCCTGATTTGAACTCAACATAAAATAGCTATCAAGTTCAACTAATTCAATCACTCCATCAATGTTTCCCTTGGGACCTCTTGGCACCCTTGCAACGCTTATTAGTAGAGTGGAAGGAAAACAAAGAACCTTTTATGACCTTGCTCGTGCGGGAATTGATAAATAACTAATCACAATTCACATCACAAACCCCACGACACCAAAAAAGAATACTTCTGCTTCAAACCAAATCCACGAAGGAATTTTCCAATCTACAAAACCCTAGCTCTTAGAGGTTCTATTTCCATTCAAGGATTTCATCGTTGCTCGCCAGATCGAGAACAACACGAAAATCCATCCGATGGATAAAAGGGCTCGCGTGTATGAAGATTTCCAACCCACGATGGAATGGAAGAAAGAAGCTGAATCTGACGTTCTCCACGTTCGTCTACCAGGTTCATCTTCTGTTCCAATTCCGTGACTTTAATTTAAGTTACATTCGCACAAGCTTTGTTGTGAAAAAAAAAGTGATTTTAAAATATAGTAGCTTCTGGCTTTACAATGTTGGTCCCACACAAAAAGCCTAGAAGCTATGTTTGGTGAAAAACCCGTAAAACCGAAATGCATTTTTATTGAACCAAAAAGTGACATTCTGGTGAAGCTACATTTTAGTAGCTTTATATTGAAAAACCAAACAACCCCAAATACATCTTAATGGTAGCTGAAGTAAGTGCCCGTTTTGAGTCGGATCTCCTGCCTACAAGAATTCTTTTCACATCTATACACATAACATTACAGTCACACATGGAGAACATTTCATCCTCTTACATAATATTATATACGAAAAGATGTTCCCAATTCACAGAGGTAGTATGCTAATAGATGTGGGCAGACTTCTTGTGGAGAGGAGATCCGGATCTGATGTCGCCCGTTTTATGAGAGATTTCAAGCAATGGCTTTTGGCTACGGCAATATGATGTGGACCCCATCCAAACACCCCAGAAAAGCCCAAAATAACTGTCTTTTATCTACAAAATTGACTTTCTTCAAATATTCTTCAAGTGGTTTATCCCAAGCCGTCCATCAAAGCTTCAGCCCCAAAAATAGCTGTCTTTCTACTAGATTCTCTTTTTTTTCCCCTTTAAAGCTTCTATAACCAAACCTTCAAATACTTTTTGGCTCATTTTTATTCTCTACAACACAAATTTCAAAAAGCAAAGATTTATCCAAACAACGCCTTAGCATCTGGTTGAAAGTTAATATGTGCTTGTAGTTTCATTGTGGTTTGGGATGTCAGGTATATTTGGATATAAGATCAGGTTAGGGCTTTGATTCATTGACTCAAGTTGGGTTCAGGTGTCGGTGACCCGCCCAGTTAGATCATGATACCTTTACAGGGTATTTCATTTAATTCATGATTTTTAAAATCAGATTGGACTGGACGGTTGTATCGGTTCTGTTTTTCCCCAAAATCGGATTTTTCTCAAAAGTCATTGATTTTGGTTAGTAAACCGCTAACCCAGGTGATTAATTGTTTGAACGGTCGGACTGTTGAACCTGGGAAYCGGACCCCTGATCGATTTATTCTCCGGGTCAGTTTTAAAAACGTTGGTTTAATTTGTTAACTTTTAATTCCACAACCTCATCAAAATTTATGATTTCTTTTCATAATTTGTTAACTTCTAACTCTATAACTTCATAAAAATTTGGGATTTCTTTTCATATTTATTTTATTTTTCTTCTTACAAGAGAAAAATAACATTTTATAACCTATAAATTAAGTTTCAACTTAAATATGACTTTTTAGATTTTCAAGATGTGATAATTGAAAGAATGTGAGCCGTGTTGAGTCAGTATCATGTTGAACCCTAGCCCCTATAAGGTAAGATCGGGTTTGGAGGTTACATATTATGAATTTGGGTCGTGTTTGGTTTTTAAGGGATGCAAATGGATCGGATTGGATTCGAATGACATTGTTCGATCCGATTGGATCTGATAGGATTTGACTTGAATTTGGATCATATTGGTAAGTTGAATATTTGGATCGGATTCGATCCAATTTATTTTTTTAAATTAATAAATTATTAAAGAAAAATAAAATATACTAATTTTTAAAAATAAAAAACAAAAAATGCAAATATTTTTTAATTATTTTCATTATATATACATGTTTTTATAAAAAAATAAATAATATAATAAATTTATAAAAATATGTATTATATATATTTATATTTATAAATATATAATATATATCAGATCGAATAGGGGCTTGATCCGAATCCGATCTGATTCATGATCCGATCATATTATCGGACCCAAAGATCCGAATAGGGAGAATATGGATGCAATCAAATAGGATCGGATACAGGATCGGGTCGTTCTCCGATCCATTTGCACCCAACGGTTTTTGGATCTGGACGCTGGAGAGTCAAGGTAACGTAACCCTATATCAAACCCGACACTCGACATCCCTAATTGTGAGCATTCATCGAGCTAAAATAACCAACCCAAACCCGCGATACTATAATAACTGCAATAGGGAACTAAGAAAGAGTGTTGAACTATCATGGCTCATGGGTAAAAAAAAATGGGTTTCACCTATCGATCTTGCAGGCTTTAAAAAGGATCACATAAGGGTCCAACTTGCTGGATCCAAGACCCTGACAATCTCCGGGGAGCACCCGCTCAGGGACAACAGATGGATCCGTTTCCAGAAAGAGTTCAATCTTGCTGAAAATTGCCGGACGAGAGGCATTCAAGCAAGATTCGCTGCCGAAGTACTTACAATTGTAATGCCAAAGACAGTTGCTCCAGCCCACCCAGAGCCCGAAGTTGAACCCAAACCCGACATTCAAGCTGATGATAAAGGAATGAAGGAGAACGGAAGGCTGATTGATGCTAACAATGTGGGCCAGAAAGCTTCAGAGAAGAAGGAAGAAGAGAAGGGTGATGATAAGTTTGTTGATGCTAGAAAAGCTTCTGATGAAGAAAAGGAGGAAGAGCAAGAAAAAGAAGCCATTAATGGTGAAGCAAGAACTTTGGATGGGGCGACTGAAAATGTAATAACTGGTGCCGGTGGTCGAGTTATGGGACTGTGTGAATCTAGAATTTTGAACATGGTTGCAGCTGTTATGGCAGTGATGGCGTTTGTGGTGTATTTAATATCTAAACTTGGGTCTTCAGGAAAACCTGAGGCTGAGAATTAATCGTTTGCAAGGGAAATGATATCAAAATTTCACAAGAATTGAGAATCTCAGATGAATTCATGTCTATTATTAGGGTATTAATGAATTAAGAAATTGGATTCCTTAATGCTGTGTTTGATTTGATTGAAAAATAATACGGCTGCAAATGGATTGAATTAATCTGACCAAATTCAAATATTGGTTGATGTGATGAATGAACCCCAAAAACGGATCATAAAACACCTCCTACTGCATTAAGAATATAATAAATTTCTGAGCCGCTAAGGGGCAGTTTCTAAAAACTGTACAAAGCAAACTTAAGCTCCGTGTATTAAAAGCAAGGTTTTTAAAACCGGACCGGATAGGAAATCATTCAGGGTTCGGTTCTCGGGTTGAGCAGTCTGACCGTCTGGTTCAAATAGATGATCTGTTCTGACAAACAAAATAAAAAAATTAAAAAAACCCAAAAAATGGCCAAAAATCGTTCTCGGGTCAAATGGTTCGACGGTTCAACTTCCCAAATCAATAGTTTGCTGACCGAATCAACAGTTTTTGGCCAAATAGTGATTTGGACCAATTTGGACTGGTCCAATTGAATCCAATGAATGTTTTGGACCAATCTGGACCAATCCAATTCAATGTCTGGACCGTCTAATCTGTTCAAATTCTTTTTGATTTATATTGGTTTCAACCCAAAGCCGGTCCATTGACACATATATTCTTATCTTATATCAATGGACCAGATATTGGCTTAATCCAACCCAATCCAATATAAATTTGTTATGGACCAGGTCCAATCCCATCTAATAACTATTTTGGACCGGATTAATCCAATCTAATATGTCTTATTGGTCTGTCCAATCCATCCAAATTGATTTTGGATTGGACATGGTCCAATCCCAAACCGCCCCATTGACACCTTTAACTGTAGGCTAGGGGTGCAACTTTTCCGGGTTAGGATTGAGATTTTCTCAAAATTTTAATAGTCTCAACCCAAAACCCGAGCCCAAAACAGTATAAGCTATTAATTCGGGCCAACCCGATTTACACCCCTACTGTAGGCATGAACCAAAGCACAATTTATGATACATTATATAGAAATTGCTGCAACATAATCTAAATATAAATGAACCAGTGATAAATCAATAGATTACAATGGCACCTTTTAATGCTGTTAATCTTTAATGATATATAAATACATTTAGTGAAAGTCGAATTATGAAGTCTTTAATGTGACATACTATAAAAATTTTGAAAAGAATAATAGTCTCACTCATCAATCAAATTTGAATTTATTCTTCATATATTAATTGGATATGGATTCCACTATGATGCCGGAAAGAAACCAATCAAGTGGGTTTTCATCAAAATTCACATTCACAGAGAGTTGTGATTAGTCAAAACCCTTCCGGTATGGTGTCTTTCAATGATCTCTCTCTCTTATATGGATAAACAATTTAAAGCACTTAAACTGTTTTTCAATGATCTTATCCGATTCAAAGCTGGCTTTCTCTATCTTTTCTTCATTGTAACCATTAGCTCATGTTGGGAATAGACACTCTTTTTTATTAAGTCCCAATTTATATATATTTTTTTTCTGTTGACAAAATACATGAACTGGTCGTCTAATTGATTCCACAATTCCCTTTCCCTATTTATCTTCTAAATTGTACTCGAATGGGTTTCTATTTGGGTACTATATACATGAATGGGTAAATCTATGATGCCAGATCAACCCCTTCCCGCAATTTTGATAAATGCTTGAAAATCACTTTTATGATATCGGTTGATTGGTTATAAGTTTTTCTGGTATCATGTGTAGGGGTGCAATTTTTCCAGGTTAGGGTTAGGATTTTGTCAAAATTTCAATGGGCCCAACCCTAAGCCTGAGCCCGAAACAGTGTAAAATGTTAACTCGGGTAACCTGACTTGCACCCCTAATCATGTCTTTCCGGTATTGTTGAGAACCACTTTTATGAGACAGATGAATCAATGCATATTTATGGTGCATTCTATAGAAGTTGCTGCAACATGATTCATGTAAATGAACTAGCGATAAATTGATACGTTACATTGACACCTTAAATGTTGTTAAAGTAGTATTTAATAATAAATACATATTGTGAAACATGAATTAATAAAAAGCAAGTAGACTATGTGATGTCTTTAATGTGATTGGTTTGAAATTTTGATGTGAGATGCCATAAAAAAATTTGAAATGCATAGTAGTGGACTCTATAGAAATTTGAAATTTTGAATTTATGCTTCATATTTGGAACCTTTTGAAGAACACCAATTGATTGGTTGTAAGTTTTTTGGTATCATAGTCAAACTTGTATGAATGAATCAAGGCACAATTTATAGTGCACTCTATAGAAATTATTGAAACATAATTCAAACTGTAAGGCTCAATTTGGAAATATGTAGAGTGCAAAACCTTGTGTTCTGTATTATTTTATATGTATTTGTATCATACATATTTGTATTTGTACTCTTTCTAAACTGAGCCTAAATGAATCAGTAATAAATCAATGCTTTATAGTGACACTTTTAATGTTGTTAAAGTAATTAATTATAAATACATCTTGTCAAATGTGAACTGATGAAGAGTAAATAGATCATGTGATGTTTTTAATGTGATTAGTTGAAATTTTGATGTGATATCCTATAAAAAATTTTGAAATGTATAGTAGATTGAAATTCAAATTTGAATTTGTGTTTCATATATTTATTGTACATCAGAGACACATCAAATTCTTACTAGATTGGACATAGATATAGCCATGTACCCCCATGAAAATTCATTTTAATTAGCTTTATAACCTTCTTGTTGATGGTTTTATGTTTGCCAATACACATATTGAGGTGATTAAATGAAGGGAATTGAAGAGATAACTTCTTCTTCTTGGGGCTACACAAGGGTGGGGGGAGCCCATCCCCCATACCCTTACCCCTTATCTCTACTACAACTAGGTAGAGATCTAGGGTTGCAAGTTGGGCCGGGTTAGGTCGGGTTGAGGCCAACCCTAGTCCAACTCTAAGTTCTAAACCACCAACCCTAACCCTAATCCAACTTGACTTACCCAACCCAAACCCTAACCCTAACTAAATTCCTTCAACTTTAACCCAACCCAAAGTCAACTTCAGGTTGGGCCCAATCCAACATTCTTTCCATTCCTTAAAATCTTGTAGAACTTCTTAATCTTATATCTTAACTCAACTTTCATTACATATATTAATCCTATGTTTTATTTGTATTTGTCAATTGATGTTTTTATTGGTTCTTTAAGTACAAAATTTAGAAAAAAGTGTTTGAAATGACTATAGTTTATTATGATGACTTATAATAGATCTTTTATGGGTGGTAAGCTATGGGTGGCAAACATCAGAGAAGAGATAAAGAATAAAATATTCAAAAAACATAAAATATGTTATCAAGGTTTTAGTATTTCCAATTAAGATTAAGTGAAGTGATTATCTTAAATGAAATAAGTGGTAGTATGTGGTAGGGGCTATACGACTATCAAGCATCTAAACAAATCAATATATCATATATATATATATAATATTTATATATGATATGTACTATATAGAGTTGGGTTCGGGTTGGGTCAAACCTAACCCAACCCAAAGTAAAGTTGGGTTCATAAATTTCAGCCCTAACCCTAACCCTAACCCGAACATCAACCTGACCCGACCCGACCTTTCCAAGTTGGGTTAAAGCTAACTCGGCCCAAGTTGCAGCCTTAAGAGATCATACCAATTGAACCATCATCGGTTGGGAAAGAGAAAACAGTTGTAGCATGGGTGATCAATCCCACAAAATTTTGGACTTGGTCCCATGTCTTATATCTAGATTTATCTCAAGTTGGGGTGCAACTGAATCGAACCTCTACATGTCTTGCCTTGATTTGACAAAAATATTATTAGGCTTGACTTTGTGTTCAAATTTGACTTGAATATTACTTAATTCGAGCTCAACTTGAATAAATATTCAATGAGGTTGAATTTGGTTTCAAAAGCTTAAAATTGAATATATTTTCATATTATATATATATATATATATATATTATAATATATAGTATGTTCTTATATTTTATATAATATAAAAATTTATATTCTATAACATATGTATATATGTATGTGTATGCTAATGGATCTAGGCTCACGAGCTTTCTAGTCAAACTTTTTATGAGGTTGAGTTCAAATAATTAATCAAGCTTACCTTGAGATTTGAACTTGATTAGAATGGAACTCAAATGGAACCTAATCAAACTTGATCTGTACTATTTGATTAAGTGTTGGTTCAATTGCAACCTTAATCTCAAGCTTAGGAATGTATATATATATAGACATACATATTATTTTATCCAATTGGTTGGATTCATCAAAATTCACCTTGGGAGTTCTAATTGGTCAAATTTCTTATATATATCATGCGAGTCACATGAATACTATATATAATATATTTTACAAATGCTAGAGAGCTAATTCTTTAATTTTTAAAACAAATGATTAAGGTTCAAGCCTTTTAAATAACATTTTCTTTAAAATGTGAGTGTATTAAACAATATGTACATTAAAAAGGCAAAAAGAACATAAGTAGAAAAGTGGGTTAATGGTAACAAGATGGCATGTACAAATAAAAAGTTGTGAGTTCAAGTCTTACCATTGGCATTGGCATTTGATCAATCAATTCATTTAGTGACCAAGTCTTATCATTGGTATTGGCATTTGATGCTAGGTCCATTAATGAGTTTGCATATGATACATATCTTAAAAGGTCTAATAGATATATATTTTTAAATTAAGATTATATGTTTCTTTAATTTATTAATTATTATTTTTGTTTACAAAACATAGCACATTTATTATTTACAAAAATAAAAATAATATTTATGAAATGTTTAATGATTTAAGTTTAAGTTGACTTAATTTTTGTTAATATATAAAAGTAAAAATAATAAATAAAAACAATTGAGTTGAAAATTAAAATATAATACTTGCATATGATTTGTGTCTTGGATATTCTATATTCTCACAAAACTAATACATTTTTAAATTTATTATATATTTTGTAATTGTTAATAAATAATTTAACTTAAATAAATAATATATTAATGGCTTTATGAATTTAGTGATTTGTAAAAATATGTATAGCAAATGTCATACCTTATTCATAGTTATTTTGACCTTAATTTTGGTTTTATTAATGCATTTGTGGAGTTTAATTAATGTATGCAAACATATCCATATCCTACTACTGTATTCATGTATATCCAAAGTATATTGTCATATGTATCCATTTCCAAGCTTACCGATAGGATATGTAGCACCAATATTTTGAACTTTGGATAGGACATTTTCTTTTGCAGATCAATTTAGCAGCTCCAAATCCAAGTGGTACATGCACTGGTTGAGGTCGATCATCTTCTGATCCATGGCATTCAATTGGCCTGTCAATGCTATCTATCTTTCATCGAGGAAATAGATGCATACAGTTTATAGAGACTCTACCATAAAAGGGACTACGGGTAGGGGTGCAAACGTCACGAAAAAACATTTTGAGACTTTTATAGACACGACATTTGTACAAAAGTCGGCAAAAGTATTTGGCAACGTTTGTAGTAGTTTTGGTGACGTTTCTCTAACGTCGTCAAAACCCTCTTTTGGTGTAGTGCGAGTTAGGGTTGGGGTTTTGTCAAAATTTTAATGGGCTCAACCTGAAGCCCGGGCCCAAATCAATGTAAACTACTAACTCGGGCCAACCCGACTTGCACCCCTTACGGGAGTGTCCATCCAAACAAGGGCTTCTTTTCTAATAGCATGCTTTTGCTTCATTCCACAAAAGGAATATCATGTTCATGGGTCTGGGGGATACAAGGCCCCGAGTACAGACCTAGAGTTCCTAAATAATGTATTGGGCATTAGATATCCCATTTATTCAACCTAGCCATGATAACCAAGCATGGAGATTATGCCCAAAGCCATAATCACTATGAGCAAATGTCAAGGCTGAGTATTTTTCTACAAAAGAATTTCTTTCCTGCTCTATCGCAGTGTTATAAGACTCGGATCAGACTGAATGGTCGCAATCCATTTTTATGTCTAGTATAGGCTCCTATCAAGATGTATGTGTACATGCCAAAGAAACTCAAATAAATCCGAAAAAGGGCTGGAAACGTCACTTTAAATATGTAAAGTATTTCCTTTTTACAAAGTAATAAAATGTGTTGTTATTGACAAAAAAAATGCTATAATGCAATGAGTTGAAGATCCACTTGTGCTTCTAGATTAAAAAAGTGCCAGCTCAAATCATGAAAAGCCCTATAAAGATCATCTGAAACTGTCTTAATTGGAACCTCATTTGTAAATCTTCGGATACTCAAAACATGCTTTGCTGAATCAACAACGACCGAGTTCTTGAACTCCACTACATGGTGTTCATATCTCTCGAAGCTGTTCCCAAACAATACCATTCGGTTCAAGAGCTCTGGCCGCCAGTTTGCTTTTAAGAGATTGTCATATAACACTGCCTCACAGTGTGGCATGAAGAACATTGTTGGCTTTATTGCCTCTCTCCGACCTTGCTCATTTACTGATAGTACACAACAGCCTAAGGCTTCCAGCACCCTAACTTCTATTGCTGAAAGAACTGGATCAAACACTTCAATGTCACCAATCCAATTTAATGTTCTCTTTATTAATATTGCAAGGCTCAACTGCAATCGAGGGGGTTCATATGATTCAATACTGCCAATTCCATACACCACCATCTGCATCTTTATTTCAGAACCCAAAATCCTAGAAAAATATGTTAATATCTCAGGAGTGAGTATTTGATTGAGGAAAGTGCAGTAGAATTCTGAGTCCTCAAGCTTCTTGATGCATATCTGCATCTTCTGCATCAGTTTTGATTCTCTTTCAGGGTCAGTTTCAAGATCAGTTGGGACCCACGGTTTCTGTTGTTGCTCTTCTAAAGCTCTAATCTTGGGGAGACTGCCCCTTCTCTGTTTCCCACGACGAGGTAAAACAACTGTCCACTCCTTAAGCTCTTCAGGGTCAACATTTTTTGTAGTAGTAGCCATTCTTGTTTGTGGGTTCTCCAATTTCTGGAGACTAGAAAAGTGCAAGTATGTTTAACAGAGCCTACAACCAAGATGAGATTCACTCTGCAAACAAAAGCCCTGACCAAAAATTAAAATAGAAGTAAATATATAAATGATAAGTGACAGGAATTGGAAAATCAATGACCACGAGGGTTAAAAATAACTGTTCCCTCAAATCCCAAGAATCTAGATGAGAAATTGACAACGTTATCTGATGCAGATATCACATCAGCTTGGAGTGGAGTCCCTAATGATAAAAGGGGACTCAAAAGTGGTGGAAAGGATTCAGATTCTGTTATCTGGTTCTATAGGAATGAAATAAAGAGATTCAAGTGGCTTATACAGAACATGAATATAAACATACAATGGGTGGGAAGGGAAGCAAATGTTTTGGCTGATTGTGCAAGGGGGGTTAATAGGGAGCATTTGTCTTGGGCTCAGTTGTAACTGCATTTTGTATTAATCTATGTCTTTTTGGAGAGGAGGTAGCTCACGCATCTCTTAGGGATGCTTCTATTGCTTCGGTTTTTGATTAATAAAGTTTTCGTCATTGATTAAAATAAAACATTATCTAATGCAAATTACTCTCTATAAGACTAACAACTTAATCTCATTAGAAAAGCGTACAAATTCAAATGTCAGACACATGTCAATGCTTTCTTTGCATATATCCCTTTCTTCTAATAAGTACTGAAATAATAACCTCTTTTTTCCTACTCTATCTATACATTTTATTTTACTCTCTATATTTTGCTTTGGTCTTTTGATTAATAGAGTTTTCTTCGTTGATTAAAAAAGTACATTATCTAATGCAGATTATTCTCTATAAGAATGTAACAACTTAATCTCATTAGAAAAACGTACATATTCAAATGTCAGACACATGTCAATGCTTTCTCAGAAAGCTTAGTTGCATATATCCCTTTCTTCTAATAAGTACTGAAATAATAACCTCTTTTTCATACTCTATCTATACATTCTATTTTACCACCCAACTACTTGTATTGAATCTTGAAATATTTTAAAAGATGAACAACTTTTTTATCTGGTTGGCAGTTCAGAGTGCAACCATCTAGTTTGAACAGTTCAATCAGTAATGTCAGCAGATTATTTATTATGAACGCAACCTGATAGTGATGAGTTGAGAAGGACCATTAATCCCTAAATAAGAATAGGAAAACACAAAAAAACTTACAGGAAAAGAAAAGGAGATTGGTGCAGCCAACTCTCTCTCTCTCTCTCTCTCTTACCATTACAAATAAAAGAATTCTGTACAAGCAAGTGCCTTAGCAGCCCTCATTCCGGGCCAACTACTACTGCCCATCCTTTACTTTCTTCTTTCATTCCTCTTTTACAAAAATACCCCCAAACCAGTCCCCAAAACTGATTTCTGCCCACACCCTGCCTTGCCAGTGCATCAGCCACACAATTAGCTGATCTAGATGTCCATCTTCATATGATCACTACGTGCCTTTCCATCTTTGTTCTTAACATCCTGAACTTCATATCTATAGTGACATGTTAGCATGGGAATCACCTTCTGTCATCAAATTTCTGAAATTTAAAGTTTTAGCCAGCTTCAATCCTTGTTGAACTACTATTATTTCTGCCCTAGTGAAGTCCCATTCCAAAAAGGCTAGGGAATAATGCTAAGATATGCCCATGGTTTCTAAAGACACCTCCAATTCCTGACTCCCCTAGATTATCAAGAATATGCCTGCCAAACACCATTGCCTAAGAGTCTTTTTCCAATGAGCTACCTTTACAAAGATGTTTTCTATTGAAGCTACCTAGGATAGCATTTTCTCTTTAAAAATTCCGGTGTTCCTTTCTTCCCATGCACACCAAACATGGCAGCTCCGACACATCTCCGCAGCATCTTAACACTCTATTTGGGTGGGGAAAGAAGAGAAGCAAAATAGGCTGTGAACGTTCCTAGGAGCTGTCTGCCTGAATTCAGAATAAAGAAAAGAAAAACTCCAAAATGCTAGAGGCAAAAGCATAGAGATTAGCAAGCGGTTATAGTTTTGTAACTTGCACTTCCACTTCCACTCGTCATCCACCTCAACAGAAACTTACTGATTCTGCAATAGCTGAAGAAGCTCCTCCAACAGTTGCTCCAGCTCCCAATCATGGAGGTTCCTCCTAAAGAGGGGACACCAAACAACACTCCCCTCCTCCCACTCAAGAGAATACTGATGCATCAGGGGGAGAGGCACAATGATAGAGGTTAGGGAAGACCTCAGCCAAGGGGGAGTTTAGGCACCAGGGGTCCTTCCAGAATTTCAGCCTCTTTCCATCCCCCACCTTATATTCCAAACCTTCTAAAAAAGAGGGGAAGTTTCTCATAATACCTTTCCACAAGGAACAACCCCACGTCTGAAAAGGGTCCAAAGGTCTCCAGTTACTCCAATCCACACCATATTTAGCAGCAATCAGAGACCTCCACCAAGCCTCCCTCTCAGAGCCAAATCTCCAAATCCACTTGCTTAAGAGGGTAGAATTAAAAATCTTAAGTTTTCTCACTCCCAGCCCACCTTCTTTGACAGGCAAACAGACCTGATCCCACTTGACTAAATGAATTTTCTTTTCTTCTTCCCACCCCCTTCACAAGAAGTTCCTTTTGAGGGATTCTAACTTTTTAGAAATCTTGGAAGGGATGGGAAAGAGCGAGAGAAAATATGTTGGGTGATTGGAAAGGGTACTCTTTATTAGGGTCACTCTACCACCTACAGAGAAGTACTTGGCCTTCCAGGAAGTCAATTTCTTCTCCATTCTTTCAATCACAGGAACCCAAATAGAAGAGGAAGTGAATTTAGCCCCCAGAGGAAGACCCAAACATTTCCCTGGGAGATGGTTTACTTGACAGGCCAAGATCTCAGCTAACTCCTCCAAATTCTCCACATGGCCAATAGGAAAAATCACACTCTTACCGAGATTAACTTTGAGTCTTTGAGTCCAGTCACTTCCTCAAACCAGCAAAGAATGCCCAACATAGATTCAAGCTGCTCAGCCGAGGAATCAATAAAGCATAAAGTATCATCTACAAATTGGAGAAGATGAACCTTCTCCCCTCCTGGAGAAACCTCAAAACCATCCCACATGCCTCCATCCACAGCCTACTTGCTAAACTGAGTAAAGACCTCCACAAGGCAAATGAAAAGCAAAGGGGAAAGAGGATCCCCTTGCCTTAACCCCCTAGAACTCTCGAAGAATTCCGACACTTGACCATTGATTAGGACTGAAAATTTAGGAGAAGACACACACACACACACACACACACTGTCATCCAATTCCTCCATTTACGACCAAATTTCATTTTACCCAGGATGAAGTCCAGACATCTCTAGTTCACGTGGTCATAAGCTTTCTCAATATCCAGTTCACGTGGCCATAAGCTTTCCCCTGATTATGACGACATATTAACAGTCTTTATGGCTGCCAGCGCCCTGGGCCTGGGATAGCTGTCTGAGCTTGAAAATTTGCTGGCCACCAGGTCGTAAATGATCATCCCTATTAGAAAACTAATTGTTTACATGTATTCATAAACTAATGAAGGGTGGCTGCATTGGAAAGGGTTTTAGATCATGTTGAGAAGGAGATCTAAGTAGATTTTTATTTAAGTAGTCTTTAGAAAAACTAGTTATGTAGAAAATACCTGAATCTACCTCAATCAACATAAAATTTAGTTAGGTGACAATATTGCCTAGGCATTTTGGAGGCTCATTGCCTAGATGACCAACTAGGTAGGTGGTAAACACATGAGAATCTTAGTGGGGGTAAATAAGTAATTATGCATTTATGCCGCCCCCTTTATACATTGACATGAAAGTGTAATCCACTTTAGGTCAATAGGAGTATTTATAGAACTAAAAACTAGACCTCCTAATCCCTTTGTATGTTTTCCTTTAAACTAGGAAAGTTATTCAAGATCCTGTTTTATTTTCATTTTTGGAAAATCAGGTATAAGTAGTCTGTAGTCATTTGATCACTTATTGATTAAATTGTGGTTCACTAAACGTAACTATATAATATATATATACAGTGACATACACAATAAAATATGTATATATTTATTTATTTATTCATTTTAACTATCAAAGAAAAAATGCCTAGTTGTGCACGGTGCCAACCAGTGGGTTGGTAAGGTATCCTGTTGGTTGTAGCAGAGACTTAGGATCGAATCCCGCACCTGGGTTGGGGGGGGGGGGTTATGGGTTGGGGGATGGGCTACCCCCCGTTGTGTACTCCTTCAAAAGAAATAAAAAAAATGCCTAGTTGTTGTTGCCTAGGCATTGACTAGCCTTGCTAGGCCAAAATACATATGCTAGGCATCATCAGTTCTAATATTTAGAAGCAGGGGATGGTATTTTGTTCATGGAACATTGATGTGCTTGATACCCTAGTTGACACACCAAAAGAGTGATCCTTAATACTGCATTGCCTATATCGGGTATTGAAGATAAGTTTATTTGATTTATGGAGGCAAGTGGTGAATTACCAACTAAGTCTGCCTATAGTATCTTGTGGCTTGTGCTCCTAGCAAAGAGAGATAAACAGTGGCCTTGGGGTTATTTGAAGAATTTGGAAAATCTAGTGTTTTCCAAAGATAAAAATACTTTTATGGTTCTTAATTCAGGAAAAGAATTCCCAGTAAGGTCTTCCTTTGCAACAAAGGAATGAATTTGGATTCCGACTGTGCTATGTATGGTGAGGAGGATACTAGACATTTTTTTTTTGATAATTGAAAGATAATTCCATTGATCAAAGAAGATAAGCTGTTACATGCTTCCCTTCGCACCTCTCCTAAACATTACAGTGGAACAAGAGCAACAAGAAAAAAGTTACAAACTTGCCCAGAAAATCTCTTCCCTAGACACCCCTTGTTTGGCTAGCAAATTAGCGAAAGCATTTGCCGACCTACCCATCCATTGGACTCTAATAGTCATGTGTCTTGTTAACCATTTAACTCTTTTAATAACTGTGAATGTCAGAAAACAGTTCGCTTTGGTTAATTTGGAGTCGCCACTCATCAAGTAAATGAAATGGAGATGATGAGACCTCCGTGATTTACATCTGAAAGCGTTTTTGGTTTATTAGTGACTCCGAACCTAAGGCACTGGCTACACCAGTCTGAGTAAGACTCGGATGGGAGAGGGAAGGGGTTAGGGCACTCCTCTCCCCTGTCCAATAGGTGGGGGCCCACATGGGGCTTCAATCAGGCACAAAAAACATAAGAAAAACAATCATTTAAATGACTGGGAACATATTAATAATCAACAAATCAAAAACAAAACAACACAATATTTTTTTATAGTTTTATCATTTGTTTATGTTATTCTCTTATGGAACCTAATTTGTATAGCTATTTTGTGGAATTACGTTTTATTTATTTCCTTTTTTATTTTCTACTTTTTTATTTTTTAACATTTTTTATTATTTTACTATTTCTACCCATTTTTAATTTTTATGTTTTTTTACTTCATTTTTCTATTATTGTTTCCCCTTTCAATGGCTCATTCTTCCTCATTCACCTAAGCAAGTCTGAGCCTATACTAGCCTCCCCATTTCACCTTTGACCTGATTTATTTACTATTTATTTATTTTTATTGGGTTAATTTGGCCTCCCCTGCCAATCTGCCAATTACCCTTCTCATTCAGAATCCGCAAAATAGAGGAATCACTTCGGTTCTTTCACATCTTCGCGACCATTTCTCTCTCTCTTCCTCTCTCTACCCCCCCCCCCCCCCCTTTTTTACTGTATTTGTTTATTTATATTAATCACGATGGGATGTGTTTCAATGAACTGAAATATCACACTGACAGTCCTCTCTGAGATCAAAGTTCAACTTAACCGAATAACGAGATGAACCTGTGTTTCTCATCTAAGCCGAACCAGGTAATTAATTGTTCAATCCGACTCATAAAACTATCATGAGAATATGATATCAATCTGATTCGGATCAACAACCAATGAAATGGAGTAAATCGGAAACTAATATTGGTCTTAATCATAGTAAACATAGCAAGCAAACAGACCAATCAAACAGCTGAGAGGATAGGGGTGATATGTCTGGATTCGAAGATTCTCAGCTTTCTTATCCAAACTGGTTTTCAAGCTTAAAAGAAAGGGAAAAGAAAAATGGCATAAAATGAAAGCGGAACCAGCAGTAGCATTATCAGAGAAGATAATCACAACAAAAAAATGCAAGAAATGATCAATTATTCACCGAAACTCATCGCAGATGGGAGAAGAAAAAGCACAGAAAACGAAAAAAAAAAGAAAAATACAGTGAGAGTAGGACTTACCTGGGCTGTATGCCGGCCTGAATTCGCACGATGCAACAGGGGTCTATTCGTTTCAGATCGACTTCTCGGACGACAGTGGTGACCGGGGCTATATCCAAGCGGTTGATGAGAAGGGGAGTGATTCCAGTGTAAGATTCGCCTGAACGTTAGCGTAAAACTTCCAATAAGACTTGCTGCGGTCGGCTCTGTTCAACCGGGAAACGAAACAGAGCTTATATGATAGATTGGGGAAGCCAAAATACTACAGAACGATTGTGGATGATGGAAGATGAGAAGCGTCCTAGAAAACGGTGAAAAATCATCGAATACTTGGAGGAGTAACCAAACGATTTTCGCTGGTATAAAATCCCTTTCGTGATAACAGAGGTGGATGGTGGTCTGTAAACGACGCCGGTGATGAGAAAGAGAGAAAGAAAGAGAAAGAGAAAGAGAGAAGAGTGAAGAGAAAAGAGAAGGAATGAGAGAGAGAGGCGGGGGAGGCGGGTGAGAAAAGAACCGAAAAACCAAATCGAGAAATCAGTTAACCGAATCGATCGGTTCAGTGGTTTTAAAAAATCGAAGGTATCGGTTCGTTTCGATTAAACAATATAAAAAATCTCGATATATATATATATATATATATATATATATATATTTCTAAGAGTGGGAAAAAAGCTAATGATATGATAAAAGCAATAAAGTCAATGGTATAACTGAAAATTGCAATTCATATCAAAATTTGCAATGTGTTGTGTAATACTAAAGACAAAAAAAAAAATCACAAAACCATAGAAAAAGCAATTATCATGATTGATGTAACTGTTTTTGGTCACGTACCATTTTTTGTGATGTATAAATTTTTTGGCTAAGTACCTCGTTGTTTGACCCGGTGGTGACGTGCCTTGCTGATGAGCTACTTGGTGGCGAACTCCCTGGGGGAGAACTACTTGGTGACGAACTGCCTAGTGGTGCTCCCTGGT